CAAAAAAGTACTCCAGAGTGTTGTTCAGCATGGGGGTGAGTAGAAAATGAAGGCTAATCATGTTTTGGGTGTACTATTCCTTTAAGTGCGCCTAAACAACATTAAATGTAACAGGCACCATAATTCTGAATTCACACACAAACAAATGACTGTGATTAAAGCTCAGCCATGTCCTTGTTAAGGGCAAGGAAAACCAGCATGTCAACCTTATGTGGTTTGAGAGGATCTGAGAGGGGTGAAAACATTTCCAGAGACACTGAAAACCCTCTCGGACAGTGCAAGTGTACCTAGAGACTCGAGCAAAGGCTTCGCCGACTCCAAGCTGTTGGCTGGCACCGACATGAGCCGCCCTGCGACTCTGTGTGGCAGGAGGCGTCGGTAGCCGCGCCGTAAACAGCTGGGTGGTAGCTAGCTAGATGAGCCCTTACATTCGTTGTGTTTCCACGTTTTACTTGAACAGTTTTGCCACAGATTTTACAAATTGCCTCATTTAAATTGTCTGGCTCCCCGTTTTCATTTGGCTGAAAAGCGAAATGCTCCCAAAGGGGCAAAGTAACATTTGGTTTTGATACCAGTGCAGCTGCCATTGTATCCGTCTCAACTGTTCTCCCAAGAGGCGGTCATGGCGGCGGCTGGTTTTGTACCGCGGTGAGCTTCTTCATATCGCGATATTTCATTTGTGCGTTTATCGTGACAGCCCTAAACATAACATATGAACCACTGAACATTAGCATAGATGTTGGCTATGCCTTTTCATTCAGTATCAAACAGTAAACATCAAACAAGCCTAGTTATCATTCAGTAGGCATTCAGTAAACAATTAGTAAGTAACCTGTGATAGGACCAGCCCCTCTACATTAGACTGGATAAAGGCTGAAACACACTGGCATCAGAACCAGAGCATGCTCCAAGCTCTTTTCATTACCTGCCCCTGCAACATCAGACCTTTTTGCAGGAATATCTTAATAAGTCATATCTAAATCTTTTATTTAGGCAAATCTATTGAACAGGTCCTAGTTCCTGAGCTGAGAACAGGTCATAACCATGCATTTCCAACAAGGCAGAGCCTATTTATATTGTCCATTCACCAACAGACTCATTTATATTGCAAAGCTCACTATGTGAAA